CTAGCACAACTATCCGGGATCGCAATCTTAGCATTTTAGGAGTAAACGAGAGTGGCCAAGGGCCTGTTGTATCGGATTCGGATGATAAAAACTCTAACAAGCTTCGTCATTTGAGTGAGATAGCAAAGGATGTTTCAAGAATAATACGAACACGAGCAAGATGGGAGAAAACTCTGTTATCTGATTTTCCAGGCATGAATTTCTCTGATCCTAATTTGTACCGTGAGGTTTTAAAGCAACAGCATAATTTGATTCTGGCGCTTCGGTTTTACTATTGGCTTAGTTCTCAAAAAGGGTTTTTGCCCGACCCCGTCACCTCTAATGTGATTTTCCGTGAGCTTGTGGAAGCCAAGGCTGGCAGATTGGCTAAGAGTTTCATTGGCAGTATGAAGTTTGTGCCAGACCCTAGTTCTTTGGAGGCCTACATTGAGTGTCTCTGTAATGATGGATTGATTGATGAAGCTCTTCTGGTTCTTGATGAACTGAAGGGAGTTGGGCACTGCCCAACATTGAGTACATGGAATTCAACTCTGTTCAGTTCGATCAAATCTGGAAAGCCTGAAATTGTTTGGAAATTGTATGAGCATATGACAGAATGCGGAGTTACTGGGGATGCCGATACGATTGGATACTTGATTTACGCATTTTGTATGGATAACAATCATTCAAGAGGTTATGAGCTTTTGAAGCAACTATTAGATACTGGGCATGTCCCTAACAATATTGTGTTCAACAAATTGATTTATGAGTCCTGCAAGAATAAGGAGTACTTTAGAATGACAGGTATTCTCTATGCTATGATGGGTAAAAATTGTTCTCCTGATGTATATACTTATCAAGAGGTTATCCATGGAGTCCGTGATGGCAATCACACACGTGGCAGGGATGTTTTTCAAATTTTCAAGGATATAAAAAGCAGGGGACATGCTCCGGATATGGTTATGTACTCAACAGTAATCCACAGTCTTGTGAAAGCCAATATGTTGCAAAAAGCTAAAGAGGTGTGGTTTGAGATGATAAAGAAGAAATTTGTTCCGAATAATTATATTTATAATGCACTGATCTATGGGTACTTGAAAATTGGTGATGCACGAGAGGCAGAAAGGCTGTATAAGGATATGCTTTATAGGGGATGTGTTGATTCCTCAGTGACATACAACATCTTGATTAGTGGTTTTTGTGAAAATAGGATGTTTATGAAAGCTTATAGATTGTTCCAACATATGCTTAGCAAGGACATTCCTCATGATGATGTCACTTATCATTGCCTAATTAAGGGCTTCTTTGGAGGTCAAAAGGCAGCTAGTGATCTCAAGAGTTTCTACAAGATGCGCAAGCATGGGTTGCAGCCATCAATTGCCTTGTACAAGGTGTTAATCAGGAGACTATGTGAGGAAGGGTGTGTTGAGAAAGCATAGTTGTTAATGAAGGATATGGCAGGCTGTCGTCTGGTACCTGAAATATCTAATAAAAAAAGAGATCGTATTCTAAATTTGGATAACTTGGGACTTGAAGCCCAAATATAGCGGGAAATCCCATTTCAAAATTCCGCCTTCCGTCTTAAGATTTGAAATCTACCCGAAAGTCTGAAACTCAAGTACTTCTTCGTAACACAACCACAGCTCGACCTATCTAGTGTCTTGTAAGGTACATTTTTCTTTTCAAGTTTCTTCATTTTTATGAATTTTGGGCTGGAAGTTTATCAATCATAGATCATCATATTTTGGAAGGTCTTATGAATAGCATCTCATTGTTTTGAATTATTTGATCCCTCAATCTGCAAATTTGCCAAAGCAGAAGCATTTACTTTGTCTCTTCTAGTATAATGTAGTTATTCCATCTAATTGTGTTTCATTTCATTCCACATTTCAAGATCAGGGTTCTGCCATTTGAGTATTTGACAGAATCAATATTTTTTGTTCGGCTTATATTTGCTTAAAATATACTTCGTATTTCATTTGAAAGTGAAGGTTTGTGGTTCTGATTGTGGTATATTAATCTTCCAATTGAGTTAACCTACTCGGGTCACATACTTTTGGATTTTGTGGCTGAATATTTCAAATATATCATTTAAATACTACTCCGTAATATACTCCAACCATCAATAAGAACAACTTGTTGCGTCAATCTGGGTTTTATATGTTGGCAATTGCTGTTTCCTACGACATATATATGTTTTCTCAAGTTTTTAAAGGATTTTATGTTGCAAAAATTATATTTTTCAGAGTTTTCCTAACTTTTCACTGCAAAAATTATATTTTTCAGTGTTTAAAATGCTCAAACAAAAGAATTCTACTCAAGCAATCTGTCTGAAACATGAAAGCCTAATGTATAAATATGGTACATCAGATCACTATAATAACTTAATACAACTAACAATAATAAGTAATAACTGCGTAAGGCATAAGCTATAGTAGTTACATAAAATATTTACTAGCGTGCCTATTTATTACGTAGTGCTTTATAATGGTGTCTTTAAATAACACCGTACTAGTCCTGGCAGCCATTTTGTTAAGGATGCTAATTCTTAGTGCAGGTAGAGGTAATGGACATATATTATTATTTACATAATGCTAATTTTTATGTTCTGTGTGCTTTGTGTTGATACATGCAAACCTGGGAGGAAAGCAAGGAGCTACATAATCATATATATGTCCAAGCTCTTTGCCCATCTGAATGGAACAAACCTCAGTGTTAATGAAATTGTTGTTTGAATTTATCAAACTAATATAAGCAATTGACTAACCGTTGCTACTTTTGCGGTAGCTATAGCGGCTTTAAGGTTATCCTCTCTCTTAGCAGCTGATCAAAGTGCTCTTGGATAGACATTCTTATATGAGCATAGCTTAGTCCTTTATGTATTACTTTATATTTTTTTCGGCTGTTACCTATCCAATCCATAATACTTGGTCTAATTTTATATTTTGTGTGCTTTGTGTTAACTTTCAGGTTTGTGATTTTCAAGACCCCTTCATTCCTGAAGATGTTGACTATTTTTTAATGCCCAGCACAGCAAAGAGCTGGTGCAAATGAATGGAGGGACGCAATAAGAATTAATTAATATATGTGGGATAGTGCTATAAACTAGTTTAATTCATGGAATTTTTTTAAGTTATGAACGCATTTGTATTCATGATCTTGACAATAACTTTTGTGTATTTTACACTGTGTTTCATGACATTTTAAATCAACACTCCCTCCCTATTATAGCCTATAGGCTATAGGGGTTTGACACGATATTTAAGAATTAAGAGAAGTAGCCAATAAATAGTGTAGATAAAGTATTGGCAATCTAGTATTCTTGAAGGGATAATTTACCTAAAAAAGAAGGTTTAACAAAAATTATAATATATCCCAAAAAACCAAGTGTAGCAAACAAAAAAATAAAGATAGGTATTCGTTTAACGATGTTGTTTTTTATCATGTTGTAGATATTCGTTTAACAATGTTGTAAATTGAGTGCTTATTCTCGAATCTCAATCATGTTGTTTCAGGATGTGAAATTTGTGAACCCTTTGTGATAGAATATTTTAGAAGGTAGGATTCATGTTAAACCAACTTGGCCATGCCTTAACTAAGCCATTGGAATCCTATATTTGTCGAATTCTTATATTGTGTCAACTTGTTCTTAACCCTTGCGCATATTAGATTTAGCATCATGATCATAGGGAAGTCCTATTACTCGTATATTTTTATGAGAGTGGAGTCCTTTGATTACTAGACATTTTTTAACATGTCTTAAGTGCATTTTTATTTTTAAAAAATGGGGTGCTTCTCTTATTATATTAGTATCTAGGTAATCATCATTTTCATTTACCCCAGTGCCGCAAAGGCTCTCACCTACGGTGGGGCATATTAGTATGTAAACTTAATTTAATTTAGACAAAGAGTCTAAAATCAAATGATTTTTCAAATAAAAGAAATGTCTTATTTGTTATGATTGATCTGCCATAATTTTGGCTTCTATATTTAAAAATATTAGATTTGATTACATGATTTATTTTTATTCTTAATCTTAAAAAATAGTATTCTAACTTAGTATATTGTTTCTACTTATGTATCCCCCGAGTCTTATATAAAAAGTACTCCGTATATATTAGTAATATATAGTCTAAGAACTTATTTAGGGTTATTCAAACACACTTAGTAAATCTCCTTCCTTCCATCTTTCCTTCCTTTCTTTCTTTCACACAGATCTATTCAATGGGGAGGAATTCAAGATTTGCCCCTATTGTCGAGGACTCCTTCCACCGCCGGAGATTGCGATGATTATCTCCAGAAACTTTAACCGCCATCGTTGGAGTCGGAGTTCGTGGCCATCGCCAGGTTCCTGGAGTGAAGTGAAGGGCGCCATCTGAATGCAATGAAGGGCGGCGGCTGAGTGCACTTGTGTCTGATCGCTTAGTGCAGTGGAGTCTGGCGACTAAGTGTAGTGATGTCAAGTGACGTTGTGCAGGTCTAGTCTGAGGCTGTCACTCCGCCGGTTGAGCGATGGCGCAGGGTAGTGAAGTTTCGTGGGCAGCGATAAAAGTGCAGTGGTTGGTCGTGATAAGAAGGTCAATAAGGGCCAACATAGAAGAAAGAAAGACAAAAACAAAAGAGGAAAAGAAAAAGAAAGGAAAAGATAAAAATGAAAAGAAAAATAAATGTCACGTGGTCCGACACGTGGGCTGTTAACCAGAAAATTTTATTCTTACCAAATAAAATGCTCGATTGAATTCTTTTTAAGAGTTGAGAGTTCAATGGAATGTTTTTCAAATATGAGTGCTTAACCCATATTTTTACTATAGTATGAGGCCTATTTAAAAGCGTTTGTCATACTACTAGAGTACTAGTCTTTTTTTTAACTCCAGGGAGTGGGGAGGAGGTTGGGGGAGACTGGAGTAGTCTGGACTGAAACTCAGCCTATTGAATTTCGAACCCGAGATCTTCCGTAAGAGAGAGTCCGACGACCAACTGGACTGAAGTGCTCTCTCTATTGCTACACACCGCTAATATATCTTTGGCATTGGTCAATTAGAAAAGGTATACAGTTATGATTCCCATCCAAATTCGTTTCTCGTCTGGAGCGCGCCTTCGCATCATCATCATTCAACAAAGTTACAAAACCCAAATTAGTCTCATCGTCTTGATTAGTGCTAATTACTGAGTAATAGTAATCATCATAAATAATTATACTTGATGATTCCTCTCTATCTGTCTTCTCTGCGGCTTGCCGAAATATTCAGCCACTTCTTCTCTGGGTTCTCCACGCAATCTCTCGCCATCACTCATCCGCTTGTTTATACTTCCAAGTAAGTACTCTCTCTCATTCTCTGGTTCTGTCTTCCCCTGCATCTCATTCGATTCAGTTCAAGATCCTCTTTTGCATATTCAACCTTGATCTGTGTCATCGAACTTCTTTTTATCGATCTGTTCTCCGGTTATTTGTGCGGAGTAGTGAGTTTAATGTACTCGAGCTCATTCGTTCTATGTATTCATGTTATGTGTGGGTTAGATCTTGACTAAGTGATCTGGAATAATCTGCTCTCTTCTTTTGGTTAACTTCCAGGGGTATGTAATTTGGACGGTAGGGATTAAAGATAATGCTCATCAGATTAGCTCGTTGGTTCGTTTGGTATAAGGGAATTTAGAGAACCCAGAATTGGATTCATACATGTTGTATTGGTCAGAAGTAGTATTAACTCAGAAATGGATTTGCACGGAAATCCACAGGGAGAGCATGGGAGGTTTGAGCAGATTCTCTCCCAGTTTCTTCTGAAAAGTTTGCATATAGTATTGGATTCGAGGGTTCCTTCAACAAGAAACCAAGCGCGAATAGGAGAAGTTAAAAAAAGTGACAAATGGTTTAATTTGGTGTTAGGAGATCGTCCTTCTGTTCTTGATAATTTGAATTTTTGGCATAGAAATTTGATGGAACCTATGAATATTGATATTGTTCTTGTTCAAGACAAGCCAGGGTCTGGTTTATCATCAACTGTTATAGAGAGGTGGATTGTTCAATATGAGAGTAAAAGGACTTCATCCTCTCAAGTTGGGGATTCTTCTTCTTACAAAAAAACATACAAGAAGCTAATTATACTTTTACGGTCCCTTTATTCAATGACAAAGCTCCTTCCAGCTTATAAGGCCTTCAGGAAACTAAGTTCTTCTCAGAGTTGTGATTTTGAACTTAATTACAAAGTCTCTTCATTTAGTGCTCCCTTTTCTAGAACAGAAGAGCAGTTGATGAAACATTATTCTTTCATTCCCGTTGATGTTCAAAACGGCTGTTTTTGTTTATCCGTGACATATCATGAGAATCTTCTCTCTGAGTTTAATCTGGAAACTTCTGCTTGTTTTCCTACTGAGATTATCACAGATTATGTTGGTAGTCCTCTTGCTGATCCTATGAGGTCATTTCCTTCCATGTCACTGGATAAGGGTGTCCTCCCTACATCGTACCCCTTAAGAAGGACACAGTCATCCACTCCGGGACCATTTCACCGGCCCCATAGTTGGACGAGTGGAGTCCACAGGGGGATTTCCTTAGCTCAGAATGACCGGCTTCGTTGGACGGCTGGGGTCCACAACGGGATTTCCTTAGCTCAGAATGAACGTTTTTTAGGATCTCCATCTCCACCCTTTTCACCACCTGCATACATCTCAGAAAGTTCCCCAGTCAATATCCCACACTCGATGAACATCCGAAATTCCAGATACACTTCTCATAATTTTTCTGACCCCAACAGGATTTTACTCCCACCTCAATCCCCTAGAAGCACGAAGCATGACTCCTTGTCTCATGAATATCCTTCTGGAATTAGGGCATTGAAGAAACCGGATGCAGCAAGGGCAGGCGAGACAATGTTCGGTAGTGCGAATCTGAGTCCGAAGGTATTAATTTTGGACCCACTTGTATACTTTCCCACATTAAGACCCAGTTTTGGATAGCTTATGTTATAAGTGGTTTCTCATTCAAGAACTTGAAGTATTTTTTGTTGTTGAGAGTACCAATCTGATGTATCTTAAATAAGCAATAAAATGTTTTTTACTGTGAAAAGAATTCACAGCAAAAGGTCTCATTCCCCATTTTCCTGTCAAATGCTTCTTTTAAAGTTAAAATAATTTTCTCTCTCTCAGTAGCACTTATTCTTTGAAAATAAAGCATATCAAATGCACTCTAGTACTGTGAATGGTATAAATTGTCATTAGAAACCTCCGTGGTCAGATTTCAAGAGATGTCAAAGATGATTCCGGACGTTTTTCTTCAAGTGATTCGCCACGTATAGGATTCTCAAGAAGTTCCAGTAGAGTATCAGTCCAGGGGGATTTGGATGACCCTGACTTTGCTTGCCCATTTGTTGTTGATGATGTTGATAGTTCCAGTTCCCTAGCCAGGTATTTTTTGCTTCAATTATTTGAATACACACACACACACTCACATGATGTTGTTCCCTTCCTCACTGCGGAGTGTAACCTCTTAGGAACTTCTGAGGCCCTTTTTAAAAAAGATGAAAGGAATATTTACCAAACCTGGGATGTATGCGAATTATTTAGCCAGCAGCTTGTTCCTAGGAAGTTATTGTACCGTCAGTCCCTCTTCCCAAACATCATCAACTATCTTTTTGCAAATGAACTAAAAAATGGTTGTTATGTTTGTTGCTACAATTAATTTTATACGGGCTGTATTGGTGGTATGGAGGGAGTATAAAACTGTAGTTTTATAGAACTCTAAAAGACATTGTAAAAACACCAGAAGTATGTGTTAAAAAAATAATGAGTTTTATTTATAATATTTTTCAAATTTATAGTTATGTCTCATGCACTGAAAATAGTACTCCCTCCGGTTTTATTTAATCTTCACACTTTGACTTCACACAAAATAAGAAAAGAAATTTGACTTTATTGTAGAGTACACTGTTGAGGCACTGTTTGACACTGTTTGGCACTGTAGAGACACTGTTGAGACACTGTTTGGCACTGTTTGGCACTGTTTTGATGTAGATTTCTTTACCAAAAAAGGAAATAAGGAAGTGTGAAGTTTATTTTAGACCGTCCCAAAAAGGAAAGTGTGAAGTTTATTAAAAACCGGAGGGAGTAATATACATTGTCATATGTGTTTTCTTGTTTATGTTTTTCTATAGAAAATAACTATGGATGTTTTTACTTGGACTGTAATTTGCTGGTCTGGTCTGTTTAAGTCTGGTCTGAACTGGTCTGGTTTCTGTGTATTTTATAACTACGGAAGTCAAATCTGGTCTGGTCTGGTCTGGTCTGTTTAACTCTGCTCTGGTCTGGTCTGTTTAACTCTGCTCTGGTCTGGTCTGTTTAACTCTGCTCTGGTCTGGTCTGACCTGTTTAAGTCTGGTCTAATCTGGGACTAAAAACAGTCCAAGTAAAAACATCCTATGACCAAATGACGCTTAGTCAGCAGGCGTTGAATGGTAGTGAATAGCTTAGCCTTCGTTGACCAATGAAATTCACTTATTACGGATCTGTAGCTTTTTATGACAGATTAATGAAAAAACGATGCTTTTGGTAGATATAAAAAACATATATCAATTTCCAGTTTCTGTATGTTTATATATTAGTAATATTACATGTAATGCAGTCAAAACCTAGACAAGAAGGCCGTGGGTCCAGAATCGCCTGCACAGGCATTTTTTGGAACCAGAAAAGCACAAGACTCTGCTGTTGGTGCCCTTGTCCAGATGCTGAAGACAGCTCCCCCACTACGCCAAGATACTAGCTGCTATTCCACCACTTCTTCTGTAAAACCTGATCTTGAAGGAGAAGGAATAACTGCTTCTTTTGACCTTTCTGCCCCTCGAAAGATCTCAGATGCATTGGAGGAGCTTAAAGCATACAAAGAACTCAAAGATGTTCTGCTCTCTAAGAGCGCACTCCGCAATTCAGAATCCTAACCCTCTTAGTTTATCCCATTTGGCCATGTAAACTGTTCTCCCATTGACTTGTACTGTAGCAACTGCATATAGATTAACCAAATTGTGTACATAGTTGGAAATGAAAAGTCATTAGGGAAGGTTGGTGGCCTGTAACTCTGCAGGTATTAATGCCTATTGAATTGGATTACTTGGACGGGTTTCTGCATTTGTACTTCTAGGAGGTGTTTACTTCACTGCTAAAGTTACTCTTAGGTTAGTAAGACATGTGAAGTAAACATGCACGTCGCTTAAAAGACCGCTTACAAAACGAAAGAGGTGCTTAAAGTGTCGCTTAATAAGCATACCACCCCCATGTATTAATTAAGCGGCACTTTAAGCTTTTTCAGTTTCCGAATTTACCCCTTGCTCTTACCCTAATGTTACTGCCTACCCCACCCAGCCCCTACTACCCACCAATCCCTATCCTACCCCTACCCTACCTAACCCCACCCCCACCTGGCCCCATTACCACCCGTACCCCACCCCAAACCCCTAAGCCCTTACCACCTACCCCAACCCTACCACATCGGCCCCACCCCAAACCCACCCGGGGGCCTACCCCGTACCACATCGGCCCCATCAAATCCTATCCTAACCCCTACCCTACCTTACCATGACCCCTACCCTAACTTACCCGACCCCACCTGGCCCCTTACCACCCTACCCCAACCCCAAACCCCTAGGCCCTTACCACCTACCCCAACCCTAACACATCGGCCCCACCCCGACTGCACCCCTTACCACATTAGCCCCACCCTATCGTAACCCCTGCCTTACCCTACCATACCCCGACCCCAACTCCATCCTAACCTAGGCCCCTTTACCACCTTACCCCCAACCCCCACCATATCAGCCCCACCCCGACCCCACTTACTCCCTGCCCCTACCCTACCTTACCCCAACCCTACCTACCCCACCCCACCACCCCAAACCCCTACCACATCGGCCCCACCCTATCCTAACCCCTACCCTACCTTATCCCGACCTAGGATGTTTTTACTTGGACTGTAATTTGTCCCAGACCAGACCAGTTCAAACTAGACCAGACCAGCAAATTACAGTCCAAGTAAAAACATCACTACTCGGACCCCACCCCTAGGCGCTTACCACCCCTTACCCTACCCAAAAACCTCTAGGCCCTTACCATACTCCAATCCTACCACATCGGCCCTCACCTCGACCCCACTTTTACCCCGACCCCACCCATACCTACCTTACCCCCTACCACATTGGCCCCACCCGACCCCACCCTTACCCTACCTACCCCGACCCCATGCCTACCCTACCCCTACCACATTGGCCCCACCCCAACCCCACCCTACCCCTTACCCTTACTACCCTACCCCTTACCACATCGATTCCACCTCCGACCCCACCCAACGTGGGGTAGGATGGCGGTAGGGTGTGCCGAGATCTGGGTGGAGCCGAGGTAGGGCATGTTGTAGGGGGTGGAGTGGGGTCGAGGTATGGGAAAGTGGTGTAGGGAGTGGGGTTGGGTCGTGGTTAAGGGTAAGGGTGGGGATTGTGGGTAGGGTGAGTTCGGGGTTGGGGTAAGGGGGTAAGGTAGGGGCTGGGGTCGAGGTAAGGTAGGGTACGGTAGGGGTAGGGGGTGGGGTCAGGGTTTGGGTAAGGTAGGGTATGATCGGGTGGGGCCGGGGTGGGGCGGCGTGGTAGGGTAATGACCTAGGGTAGGGTGGGGGTAAGGGGTCGATTGTAGGGGGTCGGGGTAGGGGTGAGGTAGGGCAAGAGTATGGTAGGTAGGGTGGGGTTGGGGTGGGGCCGATGTGGTAGGGGGTAGGGCTTGGGACCTAGGATGCTGGGCAGGTGGGGTTGGGGTAAGGTAGGGAGGGGGTATGAGCACATATTATATTTTATATCTGTGTTCATGAATGTTTGTGTGTCTATGTGTATAGAGTTATTTTGGACATTTTAATGTTAAACGGTGTTTTAAACCTTTTGAAGTAAACACGATCTTACAACATTGCTTATTTTATGCGCCGCTTATTAACGCGAGTCTTAAGAAACACCGTTAAGTAACCCGTGAAGTAAATATGTCCCTAATGTTTGTAATATAAGAAGTACAAGATTAAGTGCAGCAGGCAAGTGAGTCTTTTAATTGTCTTTAACCAAACTAAAACATTTTCATCAGTGAGGGTTTTTCTCATAAATAATTACTAATACATTTTCGTCACTGCTCCGTACAATATAATACTCCGTAGGTAGTATTGCCGTGACCAGTACAATTACTGCAAGAATACTATACTATCATGGTTATGACTTTCCCAGTAAATGTCTCATTTTTACCCATTATTTATTATTATTGTCATATGTTTATCATTATTTCTATTTGTTTTAAAACAAGATTCTGAGTGTATCTAACCAGTGATATCACAAGTTCCCAATCCAAACAAAAGCAAACACTTCTATTATACGGAGTAAAATTCAAAGGCGAAAGGAACAACAGTAACTGCTTGAGTTGGGCTCGTTCCTGTTTGACCGGTTACCCAATGAGTAAAGGGTCAGTTTGGTCCTCGAAGTTGCAAAAAAAGGGTCAAATAAGTCCTTATATAGAAGATTCTGTCCGGACATGCCATTTGAGGTGGATCCCGGTAGAATTTTTTGATGAAATTTTTTGAGCATCTTATTCATTAAGTCTAGTTTACTCATACCAAATTTCAACTAAAAATTCAATCGGGAAGACATTCAAATGAATTCTTGAAGATAACTGCGCTTTTAACGGAACAGTTATCTTCAAGAATTCATTTGAATGTCTTCCCGATTGAATTTTTATCCGAAATTTGGTATGAGTAAACTAGACTTAATGAATAAGATGCTCAAAAAATTTAATCAAAAAATTCCACCGGGAGCCACCTCAAATGGCACGTCCGGACAGAATTTTCTATATAAGGACTTATTTGACCCCTTTTTTGCAACTTCGAGGACCAAACTGACCCTTATCCCGTTACCCAATTCTCAAATTCCAAGTTTTCTTTTAAGAAGCTTGTAATGCCAGTGAATAAATAGACTTTGAGCCCGTTTGGAGAACTCTGTTTTCGGCTTATCAGCCAGCTTTTTCACCAAACACGTAACTTTTACTTTCGCGCGCTGAATTGTGTAATAAGCCAAAAAAGTAAGGTTGGAGTTACTTTTCTGGCTGTATTGGCTGAAGTTACTGTAGAGGATCATTTTAGCTATTTTTACATATAATTTTTTCTTTAATTTATTAATAAAATATATTTTTAAAATATTTTTTTCTTAAATCAGCAGAATCAGCCAAAACAGCCACTCCAGCCAGAATATCATAAATTTCAGCAGAATCAGCCAAAACAGCCGATTTTGGTGCTACCAAACGGGCTCTTTGTTTTATTGAAATTTGGTGTGCCGTATCCCAGGTTTAGCCATACTAGCATAGTCCATTCCTTTAAAACTACTTCTGCAATTCTACTTACTTCGAGCCTGTTTGGTAACACTAAAATTGGCTGTATTGACTGATTCTGCTGAAATTTATGAAGTTCTGGCTGAAGTGGCTGTATTGGCCGATTCTGATGATTCATGAAAAAACTATATTCAAAATATTTTTTATTAATAAATAAAATAAATAATTATATGAAAAATAGCTAAAATGATCCTCTACAGTAACTTCAGCCAATACAACCAGAAAAATAATTCCAACTTTACTTTTTCTGCTTATTACACAATTCAGCGCGCGAAATCAAAAAATACTTGTTTGATGAAAAAGCTGGTTGATAAGCCTGATAAGCCGAAAAAGGGGTTACCAAACGGGCTATCTACCAGCATTTTTCACTACACGTATAAGAATAAAATGCATTATGTTGTAAAACACAAGCCACACTTAACTAATGCCAATCACATCTCTTTAAAGTTAGAACTTAGAAGTATTGTTCAGCTTCAAAGAGAAAAGAATATTCTCCATTAGTTATAATTTAATCGAATCATAAGAAAAAACTTATTCTTCATGTCTTGCATTCCAACAAATAACTTATCAAATTGCCCTATTAGTCATTAAAAATGATTGCTTCTAGAAAATACTAGTAGGGATGGGAAAAACTGACCCAAAACCCGATAACTGAACCAACCCAACCCGATATATGACATTGGTCCGGGTTTTATTTTAAAAATGACCGGGCTGAGTTAAAATACCCGACCCGAACCCGAAAACTTGGGTCCTAATTCGGGTTCTAAAATTTTAAACCCGACCCGGACCGAAAATACCCGATTTAATAAACTAAAAAATATATAATTTATACAGAGTATAAAATATGTAATATGCAATTTATACATCATACTGATTTTTTATATGTAATATGTATGGACTATTTTATACTACATCCTTCCCAAATTGATTTACAAAATTGATTTTTAGTCAAACAATTTTATTTTATTCACTTAATTTGGATGTCAATTTTTAATTATATTTAATTTGGAGTTTGCAATTGATGAAATCTTAATGTAGTTTTTTAATATGTAAATTTAATTATTAAAAATTGAATTAGTTATCAATATAGAGGATTTAACATTGGTTGACAAAAAAATCTTGACTTTGTAAATCAATTTGGGATGGAGGGAAATATTACTTTGATTTTGAACCAATTGTTCTTCTGCAACATTTTCTATCGTGTGGTTTTTAGATTCAAAATATATTGCTTTGATTTTAATTTACCATGTATATTTTTTTTATTAAAAGTTTAGATATTTTCAGTTTTTGTTGTGATTGTATTTCAATTGTTTTTAGATATCTCAGTTCGATTTTTTTACCGGGTTCAACCCGAACCCAACCCAAACCTGAGGCTCATAAAACCTGGACCAACCCGAAAGTAGTGGTCCTCCGGTCAGGCCCAAAAATGTAGAACCTGGTGCTTTTCGGGTTTGTTACGGTCCTAGCCAAAACCCGACCCAACCTGATCCGATCCCACCCCTAGAAAATAGCATTATTTTTATCATATTTAATGTTTATAGAAAGTCTTAAGCCTCTCAGGGCTATGTTACGCATTTGTATAAAACAGTCTGGTATTTAAAATAAGAAATACAACCTGTTGACAAAAGATTTAGAGCAAGCGATTATAGCCTCCCTTGTGGATGTGTGTTGTTTTCTAGTGTTAATATGTTGTAATTTTGAGGACAACTACCCCAATTCCCCAAAGCATAATCCCACCCAACTATTGTGACCGCAAGATTCTCCAAGCCATAAACAGGTCAACAATCCAGAAGAAAGTTACAAAGATGACATACAAACAATATCCAAGCCTACTATGAGATAACATATTTCAAGTAAATTTATCTCAATAAATAAACTTATATGACTGCTAGAAATGAGATGATATGATATTTTTGTAATAAATATTTGTGGGATCATTTGGTTGTTTCTCATCCACCAAATAACACTTATCAAAATGACATGGATTCTCTCCGTGATAGTGAACCCTGCACTACTAAATTTGTGGTTGGAAAAAAAAACACAAAACCATACCGATGTCCAAAGAACGAAAGTGATATGGCCCTGATTTATCCCACAAATTTAGATGGACACAACTCTTGCTCATTAAAACACTCATAATTTAGTCTGAACAGTTTTTTACAACTACATCAGAAGGAAACCATTGTATTCAGGCAGGAAATTGCACGATGACATCATCAACCGGGTTTCCATATCCTTGGATAATTTCCCACTTACAATGTCTTACCATCAGATTCTGGATTTAAATCTTGCTTGCTTTTGCTACTCCTCATCTTTGTCTTGACCCTGTATTTTGTGACAAGGGCTTCCATTGTGTTAATGAAGTTCCCAACTGCCATAACTATTAGGAGGATCCCACATGTAACAACCTGACATCGGATAATACAACATTTCATATCATTAAAGTTCCAGATTTGCACACAAGGGTTGCAAAGTAAACCCCATTCAGGTAATCCCTGAGCATGCCCTTGTTTATGAAATTTGGGCAGATTCAAAATTTAAATAGAGCACCATTTTGGCTGCCGAGATTTTAGCCACCGAATACATGTGCATTTATGAGCTTGCTCATGCCTCATAACTGTAGCTAAAGTCTGAATAATACTAGGTGTAAATTTTGTTGAACACCTAAGATGGAGTCTTAGGTGAATACCCAAGCTACAACTAGAACTACTCCCAACATTTTCACCAAACATATTTTAATCACCCCACACAATTAAGACTGCTTTCTACATATATATCACAAAGAAAACTAAATATGGCACAATAAGCTAAATCAATTTCTTTTACCTGCCACTCAGAAACAACACCTGTGACAGCAGTTTTGAGCAACAAGACCCCAACATACGCTTCAAACCCCTGAATAAAGAAAATTAAATCAATGAACAACAAATATAACCTCATTTCTCATTCACCTCTGTGTGTGAGCAATGAAAGTGGGTTCCAGAGATAGTGTTAACGCATTAGTTTCTGAAGTTCTGATCGTGAATAAACACTTCTAGAACTAGCGCATAGATTTGTTATTGAAAGACAAGATGAAAACAAATTACCTGAAACCTGGAGAACCAAATAAGTACAGATCACAGGAAACACTTGTGAAATAGAAATACAGAAAGAGAAATTGAGGCACAACGAGAAGTTGAGAACCAATGTGTAGGTGCACATGCCAATGAGCTTGACTAATTACCGTTACGAACATCAATATCATTTGGAAAGATTATAAAGGGGTGTTTTAGATAGCAACTCAAAATAGCTCTTTGGTTTTAAAGAAGTAATGGTGTCGAGACAATGTTTTAAGTTTGACTGTTTGGGACATTGTTTTATTTGAGTTTCGATAGTTGTTTTGTGTTCCTAAATTAGATAACATGAGTGATACACATTGATACCATTTGATTCACAAACAAAGAAATATTCTCTATTCTTCTGTTTTAATTTACTGAATATCAGCTCTTTACTGAAGCTTTAAAGATGCCACTTGGAAGCTCTTTCTGGCTGGATAAAAATGAGCAGAGAAGTTTTGATCAAATTTGAGTTAGACTAACTGTATCTTTATATATAAGTAGGATAGTGTCCTAGAGTATGTCAATAAGAATAATGGCATAAGTAACATAACAATAATAAATTTAGAACAGAAACTCAGATACTCTGGCCTAAAAATGATTTACCTGCAAAATAAATAGTATGGGAAATAACAGCAGCAACTGACCATTGACCCCAGCCGTTTCTCCCCAAACAACATCCATTCTTCTGGCCTAAAAATGAAAATCTGAATTGCACATATTGACTAGATTGCGACGACCTCATATTAAGTATGAAAAAACAAAGCATATTCAAAATTATGCAACTAAAAGGTTATTGAAAAGCCTGCAATTGGATATGAAGGAACAAACTTTCAGAATGGTCTGGAAAATGGAAAGAAAATTATAAGGAGATTTATGTAGTAGCACATGACTAAAGAAAATGGAAAGAAAAGTATCCCACATGTTGGTACAAATAAGGGTAGCAATAGCATACACACCGACCACGGCGTTTGCCTACAGAACACTCGCAGTATGTCTATTGTGAAAGTGCGAAACCAAACACCACAAGGGTAACCATGGTAATCATCCTCCGTATTTGTAATATCTTATCCTTTAGTTTTTAAATTTCATCTTAACATTATGTACTTGTAAACCAATCTATTGTTAATAACTTGTTTATAATTACACAGTAAAGAGCATAAAAACGATCATCAGAAATAAGAGTTATTTGTAGAGCTGCGGCAATACAATACCTTTCCGAGAGCAATTCGTGTGTACAATCTTTGCCGCTGATATCTATTTTGAAGAAGCATTGCAACACCTTGCATAATTGCCCATTGCAGGAAAAGTTGCACTCCCCTCTGCAATAAATGTTCAGTTATGCATGAAAGTGAGAGAGAGATTGAGAAAGTGATGTCAGGGGGAAATCAGTAGGTAACACGCTGACATGTCGTATATACTGCATATAAAAACCTGTTTCTGTGAACAGTTTGGTTCCCTTTCTATTTCCCAAGTAAGACTGATAAGTGCCATGGCCATAGCAAAATAATGGTGGCGTATCCACCTGCAAAAGAACAGTTAGTGTTTTTCTCTAATTCACACCTTAATCAGCAATGCATTCACACATTGGTGAATGCTAGAGGTGTTATAACAGACAATTTAATTTCAACTATCAGATATTTTGTATTTAAATGAAACAATGTGGAATTAATTCACTGAGTATCCCAAAGTAACCACTACCAATGTAATTATCCTTCCCACATTCACAAAAGTTGACATTCAACACACAATTCCCCAAAAATATTTAGATGAGCCAACAACCTATAATCATTAAAGTTCGTTTGGCAATCTGGGACATCTACACTTGTTTCTAAAGTTCATACAAGCATGTATCTTTAATGGAGAATAATAAAGCATGGGAAAAACTTAATTCATCTTAAAATAATATGGAGTACAATTTTTTATTCAGTCATACAACTACCAATGTCATCCTGAGTGAACTATGATCATCACCATTCTAGTAAATTCAATCCCACATGACACACATCTCTGCCACCTTAAGAAGGTCAAGAATATAGATGAAATTAAACATATGAACTATGATCATCACCATATGAAATCGGAGCTAAAAAGATCAATCAGAGGCTCAGAGCATAAACCAAAACAAAGCAAAATTCACAACGCTAAACCTTCTGTAGGATATATAGATATTATTCGCATACCATGGCCGAATATCACTTCCATTCACTCTCAGAATGTTCTCCCGCAAGGCCAAACCTGTATAGAGGAAAAGCAACCATGCCTGAAGAATGTACAACACCAAAGAAGAGTTAATCTTAAGGAACAAATAGTTCTCCAAAACATGCCAAAACGATAACATATATGAGACCTGGTAAAGTTGAACAGGTAATGCAGGCAAACATCCATTCCAAACCCAAGACCTTAATCCAAGAAGCAATGATGGGAATATGAGGAAAAGATACGCTGTCCGATCCTGTTATACAGGGAGATGGTAATAATTAGTATAAAAAATAATCTAGCAGTTGTATAATTCGTCACTCTATGCACAGGTCACCATAGCCCATCACCCCTACAAGGTCATACAATCTTCTGTTAAATGATAGCAGAAGATGGGGCTAATTAGGGAACAGAAGCCATAAAAATTAGCTTGGGCACTTCCTCCACTCATTAAAGGGAACAGATCAAAGACATTTTTTCATCTTATAAAACTAATCTTTAAATATATGGAGACTCATGGTAACACTGGTAACAACTAACAACTACCCACACCTAAATTACACTGTCATCTACTTGTATATATCCTTTCATCATTTTCATTTACCCCAGTGCCGCAAAGGCTCCCACCTACGGTGGGGTAAGGGGGGGTCGGATGTAAGCAGTCTTACCCCTGTACTAAAGCACAGAGAGACTGTTTCCGGATGACCCATAGTGAAAATCGCGTCCAAAATTGCATGGACTGACTGCTGCTTCATAACAAAGAAGGGCAGACAGTTTAGTGAGCCATTTTGCTTTATTCCATCATATTCTCAAGCCAAAAAATAATGAATCTTTGGCTCCATTGCAAATGAAATTTATTCATTAAATACAGAAACCTTATCTTGAATGATTTAAGGAGACACACTTTACTAAGATTACAAGGTGAACAACATACTCTGAAACTGTTGTATTCCTCTTTTACTTTCAATTGAACATCCTTCCTATGAGCACGGACATTAATTGGACCCAGGAACATCCTCAGCAAACGACCTACAGCCAATCACAAAAATGAAGCACAGCTAATTAACTACAGTTGTGAATTAAAACACTTGGCAAATTAATTAATAACAATATCATATAGACAATATCAAGACCATGAGATTTGCTTGGAAGATATGTTGCCGCATCTCCATCACTCAATAAATCTCTAGCTCTGCTTAGTTCCTCTTCCCACTGAGATAAGGATGGAGACCATAAGAAAACGTAAACGGGCACATGTACAGATGACAATGCAAAAATCACTCAAACAATAACGCGAACCATCCTCCAGCAAGAAATGCTGGAACACAAATATTAACATGCAGCGAGAAGATGCACAAAAAATAATACATTGCATGTACTTTTTCAGCTTGTTTGGAATCAAAGTTCCGAGATCGGATAGAGCTACAAAGTTTTTTGATTCGAGAATCCAGTGAGGCGGCTCGCTTGCGGAGGGACTCTTCGTCGCTAGCAATGGCAGAGATCGTAGAGCTAGCATCTTCCTGCAACTTCCGAGCTTGCTCCGCCAGGCTATGAACCTCCTCCGCGTAGTTCAAATCCGCCAAGTCGCTCATCGGATCGCCAATTCAATATCCAGATTCAACTTACCTCCCAATTCTATTGATCTCTATCTATATCTACAGAACAATAATATCAGAAAGAGAGTGTAGATTTCTGCGTCACGCGTGTGTATGAACGCCTGCAGGTGAATGAATGAATGAATAGGTGAATGTTTCCTGATGGGTGTAAGAAACGGTGGAAGAGTGAAGCAGAAACGATTAAAGGAAAGGTGTTAGAAACATACGCGAAATGGGGCCAACAGCAAAGAGACCCGCCCGCCTGCTTGCTGGTGGTAGACGAAGAGATGCGTTCGTTATTAAATTCCAGCTTTGCGGGTTAGAAATTATGGATCTTCAATAAAGAAATAAAATGAGAATGAATCAGGCATCACATTTGAATTAAGTCAAAACGGGTGTACATTTGAAAAGTTTTATTGATGATGGTTTTGTCTAACCTGTTACGGACTTACGGATGTTGGTTTGTGCTTTTTTAAAAATGACTTATTTTCCCAAACACTACAACTTTTATTTTTTTCGGCTTCCGCGTCAAAAGTGCTTTTACTTTTTCTATTACACAAAAAGCACTTATTTTATCAAACACTACCCACTTTTACTTTGCAAAATCACTTTTTTCTCAAACACTATCAACTTTTATTTAATCACTTCTCCCCATTTCATTAAAAAAACACTTTTTTTAAAACAGAAGCTGTTGCAAATAGACCCTTAATGTTAGGGGTGTTTGGATCTGATTCTCAAAACTGATTCTGCTCTTTCAGGGAGCAGAAGCAGAAGCTGGAGTGTTTGGATGAAATTCCAGAAGCACTTCTGATGCTCTGATTTACTCTCAGAATCAGTTTTTTTAGAAGCTGGGGGGTACCGGCTTCTAAAAACTGATTCTAATTCTGTTTCTTCTTTAAAAAAGAAGCAGAAGCAGAATCAGTTCCAAACACTCCCTTAGAGCATCTTTAATGGCAAAGTGACGGCCATCAAGATGACATGGACAAATACCCGTTTAAAATTGAAGTCCCATCTCCAACGCAGTTTTGTGTAAATATCTCTAGTGCATTCCATAAATTAGTTTTTTTTATTTAATGTGTATATAAATCGGTCGTAGGTCTTAATTCTTCTACCTTTCTTCTTCAAAGCCAATTAACCAAGTAGCAGTTGATGTTTTAGATCTTATATATAGGGCACTAGGACAGTGGAAAACTGAATTCATCCGAAACTCGAGCAAAGAAATGAAAATAGGGCTTTATCGCCGGCGGGATAGTCATGAACCGACGGCTGCTTATATATATGCCTTGCGATGCAATAGGCTTAGGTTAAATCTCCGTTTCATCTAAACCATCCAATTAATTTTACAAGATCAAAAGAACAAGAATAGAAAAATACTTCAAAGACCTTGGATGAGTTTTACGCAGATGCAAAGTAAGAGAAACGTTTTCGCTTGCTGAAATTAATTGAAGCTTGCTGAGTCAGATCGTCTCATAGCCTTGCTGAAAGTCCATAGAGATGTAGACGGTGTGGTTTTTATTCGGTTCCAGCTCAGCAGCACACGGATATGGATGGTTTCGTTGGAGACTGTTTCTGCGTTTGCTACTTACGTGGTTGTGCATTTGAAAGAATAGAAAGGCCCATTAAAGATGCTCTTACTCCATTCCTTCCAAATTCTCACCTTTTTTACGGTCGTTTCCCATTCAAAGTTTTCTTCTTCCAATTTCAACCAAATGTTAGTACTGAGTACTGTATGTCTTTTTTATATTTGTGGAGAAAAAATTATCGAAATTACACTCAGTATAATGTCTTTTTGATATTTATGTGCCTAATTCTTATGTCACATGTTCATCGTGCACATTGTAGAATTGAAGATGATTTAATAAAGTGATTTTATTCGAAGTGGTTTCAGTCTCAATCCAGATCAAATCAGATTTAGGCTTACACAAACTAGATCAAACTTAAACAATTATAAAACATAGACCAAACATTTGTCTAATCAAATCAAACCAAACTTAAACAAATCATATTAGACGTAATTTATTTCAGTCAAAAAACATCATGTAATTTATTTTACTCGCATTACTTTTGCATATTTTTGTTTCCACGTATTTTCGTTCACATAAATAAATCATTTACGTACTACTACGTATTAGTTTGTTAATAAAAATATTGTTGGTGCAGGGCGAGTATTTTTTTGTTCACTTATTCGATCTCACACAGATTTAATTTCACAAATGAAACCTTATTCGTGTGAGAAAAAAACTTATCATCCAGCACTTAATTAATTTTGTGCAAATGTTATCAAGCAGTTCCGTCGGGCATCAACCGTTGGTTTGCAAACACTTTAAAAGTGATTGTGCTTAAATAAAAGCGCTTTTTGGGAAAAAGTGATTAGTAGTAAAAGTTGGTAGTATTTGGTAAAATAAGTGTTTTTTGTGTAATAAAAAAACTAAAAAGTAGATTCTACACGAAAACCGAGAAAGTAAAAGTTGGTATTGTTTGGTAAAATAAATGATTTTTTCTTAGCCAAAAGCACTTAAATTAATTGTTTGCAAACAAAGCCTAAAAAAAGCACTTCTCGACTTTTGGCTTTAACAAAGCACTTCTTATATCAAACACTACAACTTTTATTTTTCTCGCCTTTCGTGTCAAAAGTGCTTTTACTTTTTCTATTACACAAAAATCACTTATTTTACCAAACACTACCAACTTTTACTTTTCAAAATCACTTTTTTCTCAAACTAGCTGAAAAGATACTTTTGTGAGCTTTTTAATAGCTGTTAGTTTTTAGTGACTGAAAAGATCTTAAAAAGAAAAGGTGGCAGCTGTTTGATAAAAAGCTGACTGTTTGATTTAGTTCTGTTTGGTATACAAGCTGTTAGGATTAATTAATACTAAAAGTCACTAGCTTTTCTTAGATGCTACTCCCGGTAGCATCTCAAAAAAGATCTTTTAATTTTTGAAAAGCTCTTAAATATTGTCATGCCAAACACACAACTAGAAGTTTTTAGGAACTTTTTTAACAGTACAAAAGCTAGAAGTCAGGGACTTGTGCCCGCCAAACATAGCCTATCAACTTTTATTTAGGGAGTGTTTGCAAGTGCTTCAACTTTAAAAAAGTGATTTTTTAAAGTGATTTTGGGAAAAGTGATTAATAGTAAAAGTTGGTAGTGTTTGGGAAAAAAGTGATTCTGAAAAAGTAAAAGTTGGTAGTGTTTGGTAAAATAAGTACTTTTTGTGTAATGGGAAAAGTGAGAAGCAGTTTAAAGCACCCTTCTACCTACTTCCAGCTTTTAGCTTTTAAGTGATTAATTTAAGCAGAAGTTGTCATTTGAAAACACTCTTTTCAGTTTCTTTTAAGCCAAAAGCTAAAAAGCGCTTTTTTTAAGCAATCCCAAACACTCCTTTAATCACTTCTCACCATTTCATTAAAAAAACACTTTTTTAAAAGCAGAAGCTGTTGCAAACAGATCCCAAGTTTTCCCCCTTTCACAATGACTTTTTTGTGTATTAAAGGTTGCCGACACAAGTTTTCCCTTAATCATAATCTTCGTGATACATATTCAAGCCAAATAAAATAAATTAAAATGTGGATTTGTGGATGTTTATAATAGAGAACTAGAATTAAAAATGGAGTATTAATAGTCCACAATCCGTTAAATTCATTAGTTGGAAAGATAGATTACTCATGAGTCCCGATCCTGTCAGGCCGGCCTGACGGAAACTGCTGTCAGGCCGAGGCCATCAGAGGCCCTTCCCGGTGGAATTTTCTGATGAAATTTTTTGAGCATGTTCCTCATCAAGTCTAATTTATCCATACCAAATTTCAGCTAAAAAATGAATCCGGAAGACACTCAAATAAATGTTCTACAAAAACTGCACTTTATATATGCATAAACTGCGCAGTTTTGGTAGAGAATTTATTTCAGTGTCTTCCCGATTGAATTTTTAGCTGAAATTTGGTATGAACAAACTAGACTTGATGAGGAAAATGCTCAAAAAATTTTATCAAAAAATTCCACCGGGAAGGGCCTCTGATGGCCTCGGCCTGATGGCGGTTCCCGTCAGGCCGGCCTGATATGATCTGTCCTCGATTACTCATTATCTAATTACTTGCTTCAAACAATTATTTATTGAAGGTCTTAGATGGAGTTAATTTAAATTGAACTATTGAAGTCGAAGATGAAAATCATTTGTGATGATTAGCCTATAGCCACATTTTATTGGTAAGGGCATTTTATTACGAGTTATATGCTATCTCCGTAGAACTAAAAATCATATTTAGTAGACGGCATTGGAATGCTATCGGCTAGTTTTACTATTATCAACTTTTCTCATGTGAGGCGATCAGTGAACCATGGAGTTCACGATATGACGAGTTGTCGGTTTTATGTCTGATTGTCATGTTTGGCAATTTTCTCCTCTTTTTATCGCTACATCTTTGGAACATGATCTTATTAATTTTAGTTAATGTGATTGCTTTCAAAAAAATGATGATTAAAGAATGGTCATACGGTTTTAGTTTATATAACGACATGAGTATAAAAATGTCAAAAGTGATTGATTATTTCAAAAAAAGTCATCGAGTGTAAAACAAATTAAGTTCAAGAGAAGAACTGAAGAAGAAAAATTGAATCTCAAACGAATTATACTACTCCGTAGTATTAATGATGTGTTAATGATTTGGTTGTATTATTGTTTTCTACCCGTAGAACTCTAGAGATCAAGGTGGGTAATGAAAAGTATGTTTCGATCGTCTTTGACTCAGTCATTCTTATTTTAGAGTCAATGAGTCGTATTGCTTCCGAGAGATTTGACTTCGAGCATAGTTATAGGGCCGAAGGCCGAGAGTGGATTTTTTGTTTTTATGTAACTTGCATAAATTTTGTTTATTCAATATAAATTGCTTTTTCTGGTTAATGATTTGATGATGCTTATGGATGGACAAGCAAGGTACAAAGATGATCAAGATATATAATGAAATGCTTAGTAACGGATTTTAATAATATATACTAGGATGCACTTTTTTGGGAGCGCAGGAACGATGTAATTAAAGATGCAATTGCTTTGTCATATCTATGCATTTGTTAGCTTCAATTATTCAAGGAGCTGGTAATTAGAACAAGTCGATCGGGAAAAACTTTGAATGTCATAACCATTCTGTTTTAGAGCCCGTTTGGTAGCATGAAAATCGGCTGATTTGGTTGTTTTTGCTTAAATTTATGAAGTTCTGTCTGAAGTGACTGCATTGGCTGATTCTGCTGATTTAAGAAAAAATTATTTTTAAAATATTTTTTGTTAATAAAATAAAGAAAAAATTATGTGTAAAAATAGTCAAAATGGTCATCTACAGTAACTTAAGACAATACAGCCAGAAAAGTAACTCAAACCTTACTTTTTCTGTTTATTACACAATTCAGTGCGCGAAAGCAAAAATTACGTGTTTGATGAAAAGGTTAGTTGATAAGCCTGGTAAGCCGAAAAAACAATGTTGTCAAACAATCTCTTAAACTTTTATTATCATTTCAATGCCTACATCGCATTTTTTAAAGCAATCCCACTCCTTACAGCACTTAAAATGATTTCCATCCAATTAAGTATTGCTGAATTTGATACACGACTGTTTTCGTCTCAAAATGATTTACAATCTTACCTGGAAATTTCATTTCAGGTAGATTCCAAGATACTCATAAGTACCATATTTTTGTCTATATGGATCAATCAGAATGTTGCAGTTGAATTATTAACTCTAAATAAAAAATGATATATGTATGTGGACTAATCAAGTGAATGGTAGGTATGGTACCCCATTTTTTAAATGGGTACCGGAGTTCTATTTGGATAAATTATTTATTGGGGTGTTCAAATTAAGTTTTAATGATTTCATTTAATTTTTTTTATTTAGATTTTAGATGTGTAAGAATGTCTTATTTGGACTGGTTTCAGACCAAGGTTAATGGTCTGTTTGCAACAGCTTCTGCTTTTAAAAAAGTGTTTTTTTTTAATGAAATGGGGAGAAGTGATTAAATAAAAGTTGATAGTGTTTGAGAAAAAAATGATTTTGAAAAGTAAAAGTGGCTAGTGTTTGGTAAAATAAGTGTTTTTTGTGTAATAGAAAAAGTAAAAGCACTTTTGACGCGGAAGTCGAGAAAAATAAAAGTTGTAGTGTTTGGGAAAATAAGTGCTTTTTTAAAGCCAAAAGCTGAGAAGTCTTTTTTAAAAGCAATTGCAAACCAACCCTAAAGTGTTAAACAGATAAAGCTTATTTTAATTCAATTTCAAATGATGCAATTTTTTTTTGCGAGAAAATGATACAGCTTATTGAATCAAACTAATACGGAGTAGCAAATATTCAAGTAGTAAAGGAATCAGTCTTATGATCACTACCTACCTCATTTCATTCAATTTCAAACTTGCAATACATAAGCACTTCTACGTATAGTTACTTCGTAGGTTAACTATACCATAAATTAAAGCACTTCTACATTTATGTATGCTCTCACGTTTCTGAAACGAGAAACCTAAGCACTTTCACGTTTATGTGCATCATAGTGGATAACAAAAACTTCTAGTCAATAGCCCCAAAATGTAGGTGTCTTAGTTCTAATTGTAGAATCATGGGTAGAAATGAATAAACAAGAAGAGCACTCAGTTTGGAAGAGGCATGTGGTGTAAATCATGTTGGATTCACTTTTGAAGACAGTATCGACAAGGTAATTGTGATCAAATCTAAATTTATCAGTCTAAGAACTCTAGAGATATTCATTGACTTCAGAATTATGAGACCATAAACCCCGACACTTGAGTTATATATATATATATATAAAGAATAAACAACATTGTCAGATATTGTCTTATTTAAGTCATTCATCAATGCTTTAAAGATAAAAACAATGCACGATCATATGATTTGATATCCAAATCTAGTTTATATCACATTCTCGTGAACTCGGGTATCTAATGATTTCAAGAAAAAAATTCTTAAATAAGAGTAAAATGTAGATAAAGTGTAAAATAGGATCATCATTATTTTCTTTTTAGAATAAGACTTATTCATTCTGAATTGTGAAAATTTAATACTTTTATTAGTACCAAACATGTATAATATTGAGAATAAATAGTTAATTCTATTTTTGTAATTTCTATATTGTACACTTATTTGGGACATTTTTTGTCATTTGAAATGGCCTTAAATGAATCAATTTGCCCATGGGTGTAACCGTATAAGTTTTCTTAAGTTTGGTAAGTAAGTTCTATGATATAGCAACCTAAGCCTGAACATACCTAAAGTTTGGTAAAACTTAATTTTCTCGTGTAAAAATTTACACGAAAAGTATATGAATAGTTTCCTCAAGTACCATTCATTGTGCATTATCGAAAGAGCCACCACAATCATTATAGTTCTCTAGACCCAATACTTTAAAAATAACATTTCTCCAATCTTGTAACTCATCTTGTCTCGACTTAAACACTTGTTACTTAAACAAGGTCTTAACATACATTTGAACAAGTTAGCCCAGAACAGGTTTAAACAACATCTTCGCAATTTCGCATATGTTTATCAAGTAAATCATACAAGTATTAGAATTAAACAGATTAAACTAGATAAAAAAAATTCATTCCAATTAAAAGCCCACAATATACTGATGTAGCTATGTTTTGTAATCACCAATCGTCTCTCGATTCTCAAGTAAGCTAAAGTTTGAATGTAAAATTAGAATTGCTAAATTTTCCGTACAGTAAGCCTAGCTAAATGAAGAACGTAGTATGAGTCGTATGACTAGTATCCATTCAGTAAAAAAACGTAGTATCCATTGAGGAAAAAGTTGAAGTAATGATTGCAAAATTTAAAATTATGATAAAGGAGTTTCAATGTAAATTAGTGTGTATAAATTAGTGTGGATAACTTTGGTAAAAAGAACTTTAGAATGAATGAGCTGGAAAAGCTAAAAATTTGCTTTTCATTCCAACTCCATGGCATTTTTTTTGCTTTTGCATACAGGTTCTACATCCATCCAGTCATCCAGACAAGGACTATGTTTGGCAGGCATAAGTCCCTGACTTCTAGTTTTTGTACTGTTCAAAAAGTTCATAAAAGCTTCTAGTTGTGTGTTTGGCATGACAATATTTAAGAGCTTTTCAAAAATTAAAAAATCTTTTTTTAGATGCTACCGGGAGTAGCATCTAAGAAAAGCTAGTGACTTTTAGTACTAATTAATCCTAACAGCTTGTATACCAAACCGAACTAAATCAAACAGTCAACTTTTTATCAAACAGCTATCACATTTTCTTTTTAAGATCTTTTCAGTTACTAAAAGCTAATCACTATTAAAAAGCTCACAAAAATATCTTTTCAACTAGTTGTGCCAAACATGCCCAAGGTTGGAATTGCATTAAGAAATTGTTTTTAGAGGTTTGCTCCTTTTTTGTATATTTGTTTGTCCCCGCACACAAGTTGTCTGTCAGACAACTAAAATATGAATTTTTTGTCTAGACAAATATACATAGTCATGGACCCGGTTCGGGCCGCCCGGACCCGGACCGGACCCGGTGGCTACCCGGGCCGGTCCCGGACCTTCCTTCCCAAAAAAAAGCCCGGCCGGGCCCGGCCAGGCCCGGCCCGGGTCCATGACTAAATGTACAAAAAAGGTGTACACATTTTGTGTACACCACACATTTTCTTGTTTGTAAAGAGGACAATTCACTGAGGAAGTGGTCCAGTTCAAGTGTTCAACTAATCACCCACTCACTCTCTCTTATGGTAGGTCCCGAATTCGATACTCAATGAAGTGACTACGATCAAGTTTACCCCAAGCCCTCGATCCCTCCGGAGTGAAAAAGGGACAATTCATTTTGTTTCACAAGAAAAAGAAGTAATCTTATTTCCCTTTTTCTCTGCAAATGAAAGCAAAGCTCACTGTTCATTAGTGTATAAGTTTACCGTTACTAGGCATGGACCCGGTTCGGGCCGCCCGGCCCGGGACCGGCCCGGCCCGCCACTGTGCGAGCCCGGAACCGGCCCGGTTCTCGGGTCCGGGTCCGGGTCGGGCCTAGGCCCGGTGGGGTGGCCGGGTCCGGGCTCGGGCCTTGAATTTGGCGAACCGGCCCGGCCGGGCCCGGGCCCGGGCCGAATTGATTTTTTTTTAATTTTTTTTTCTTTTTTTGGGGTTAGCCAAGTTGAGCTTGATGGTTAAGAGGGGTTTGGGGGTTTGGGGGGGGGTGTGGGGGTGAGTGGGGGGGTTAGGAAAGCAAAAAAAAAAAAAAAAAAAAAAAAAAAAAAAATTATAACCGAACCGGAGGCCCGGCCCGGCCCGGCCCGGACCCGGACCGGACCCGGTGGCTACCCGGGCCGGTCCCGGGCCTTCCTTCCCAAAAAAAAAGCCCGGCCGGGCCCGGCCCGGAACCGGAACTGGCCCGGCCCGGGTCCATGACTAACCGTTACTGCCTGCTTTTAAATTTTTTTAGGTTGACGTAGTTCCGTCCAAAACAAGAAGAGTGTTTTCTTTTTCATTTCTTCTTCTATGAAAAAAATCATAATGCCAAAAAACTGAATTGCAGGACTTTCAAAGTTCAAACACACACTTGGGATTCACAAGTCCTCATCTGCCGGCTCCTTAAATTTAGCTTTGTTGCTTAAAGCCTCAAAAGCATTCACGAGATTATGAAGCCGCGCAACAAACTCAACCAACAAGGAAGTAAATGTTGCTAATGACAATGGACTTGCACTTTCATATGTCCGGACTTCACGCTCGTTTAGGATTGTATCTCCTAGAACCGAAAGGCGTGAGGGCCAATTCACCTGTTGCTCGTTAGATGATTCCAATTGAGTGTCCATGTGCTTCAAGGTCTGCATGGATCTCATATTGAGAGTTGCTTCACTAAGGGAATTTATCAGCATTGGTCTATGCTGTTGGCTGTCCTTGAGGTCTTGAAGGTCTTCGGGGTCTTCTAAGTTCTTTGGTCGTTTCCCGCTCTCCCAGTTCTCAGCATTGACCAATAAGTATGACTTTTGGTCAATTAATATCTGCAACTCCTCTGCCGCATCATGGACTTCTTCGAGAACGTCTTCCGCGTGATGGCTTAGTTTCTCCATTTGCTTGACCTTTTCTCCAAGGTGCCTTATCAACTTAGCTCCCGCTATCCCAACTCTTTTTATCTCCTTCCCGAAGACATGCCTTAAATCAGGTGCTGCCTACAATGCATGTTTAGTAAGCAATTCATACAAAGTATTAATTCATGTGTAAACCAAGACCATATCGGCCCATTTGGCATGTGCACATACTAGTGAAAAAAACATGAAGGAACATAGAGAGTAAAACTGGAAGGAAACAATAATAGAGAGATAAAAGATAGGCTCAAACTTAGTAAAATAACTACTTTGTAATATTTTAGATATTTATTGTTATTCTTTATATATATTCCATAATATAAATATATGAAAACAAATAAAAAAAGTTAGTAGTATTTCTTTTTCTTTTTCCAAAGTAAACAAAAAACATAAGAAAATAACTTCTGTTAGCATTTGTTTTCTTTACACAATTAATTAATTTCTGGGATCCTAACATACCCTAAAGTGCCAACAACAAAAAGACTGACATCAATATCTTTAGAACATGGAAAGGATAACATAACATATTTTAGGGAGTTTTGCTTTTATCTGAGGGGTCAGGGGTCGGGGTCCAATGTGCACCAAGTCACCAACTATTTTATATTCACACACACATGTGTGTTAGATGACCCAACTATCCTTTATCAGTAAAATTGATAGATACCTCCAGAAAAATAGATACCTCCAGAAATTCAGAAGATTTATGGAAAGATTAACAAGAAAAACTGATGAGAACTTTATTTATGAAGGTGATCGATTACAGGAGAAGACAGTAACCAAGGCCGAAGCCTCCCAAAGCCAAAGCCCCAAAAGATAGAGATGTTCAGTCTCGTATCTTCCCAAGTCCCAAGACTATCCGTCTAAAAGCCTCCTTTATGCCTTCCTTCCCCTTTCTATTTATAGTATAAGCCCTCTTATTATTCTCTATAATAATAGGCCCAAAATAACAGGCCCACTAAACAGTATCTATTCTTCTAGTATTCATATTAGAATTATTATCTATTATTAATCTAATAGGTAGATTCCTATCAATACTCCCCCCCTAAACATCCACCTTGTCCTCAAGGTGGGTGATAGGAATCAGCCACAATCTTCTGCTTCCTCTTCCTCTTCCTTGTCCCTCTTCCTTCCCAATATTTAACTGGTTGATGGACTAGGGACTTCATTACAAGATCTTTTAAAATCACAGAACTTTCAGCAGCAGACAGTGAATCTTCATTTAGTTCAGTCACCTTCCCGCACTTGACATAGAAAATTATTTCTTCCCTTTTCTGCAGCTCCTCATGATTCCTATGTCCTGAGACTAAAACTGTACTGGATGCAAACTCCTCTATGTAGCTTTCAGCCTCTCCCTTTTTCAATTCTTTGCCTATCTCATTTGAGAAGGAGGGCCTAAAAGGTTTTAGCCGGAAAGTAAGGATATACATTATTCCAGCTGCAGTTCTCCGAATCAAATAACAGGAAAGCATATCTCCCATGTAAAACTTCCAATGTTGGTTTCCTTGCAGGTAGACAGATCCATCACCAGTAAACGACCTGGCCATTTTCCAACCCTGTTCTAATTTCACCTTTTCATTTTCTTCACTAGCTTTTAAACCTTCAATGGCCACAAGTATTGCCTTGTCTTCCTGAAGTTTATGACCTACGCCCTTAGTAGAATTTATGTTCATGCCTTGAACTTCTTTGCCAATGTGATGGCACACTGAAACCGAACACCATTTAGTGCATGAGAATTCCAATTCAACTCCTTCAACCCCAAGTGCATCAGTCATAATTCTGTGGGTCCCCATTCTGAGTCCAGCTTCACTTCCTTCTATCACCGTCATTTCCTTAATTGCTCCATTTGCCACAGTAATAAAGTATAGCAGCCAATTTCCCTTCTCATTAGTCACTGCAAGGTATTTCTGGTGCTTAACTTCTTTAATTAGAACAGTCTGCACAATAGGAAATCTATTTACACTCTTTGCAAGATCCTGGGACTGCACCAATATACACTTCTTGCGTTGATCAACATCATTAAATCTGAAACCATCAATCTTATTCACCCCTACACTCCCATCAGCTACAGGAAACACCTCCTTCCCTATATCAGATATAGTTGAGGTACTGAGAGGTTTAACCATTGAGTCTCCAGTACCAGGTGAATGAATACCTTCATGAAAGGGAATCAATTTTTCTAATTTATTGGCATCCACATGAAATCTTGGTTGAACCTCCACTGTCCATTTAATGGAAGGTTTACAAGTATCAATCCTTATCAGGTAAAGGCCTCGAAAAATAGGGATTGACTTCCCAGTTTGATTTATCTTGTCCTGAAGGTATTCATCAATTTGAAAGCCACGCTCAATCGACCACCTCATCTTGGTTTCCAATTCTGAATTAACGAGCTCAATCCTGGAGGGTTTGTTATGAGTGAGGAAACAAGTAATTTGTCCCGCTGCAGGTCCAAGGTCAAGTGACGATTCATTCTTGTGTTCCTTGTCGCCATAGGTATGCCTATCTGCCATGGATGGCTGCGGCTGATGAATCAACTCCTGATGAGAATCTTTGGATTCAGATGGAGATTTCAAACTGGAGTCTTCTTCTGCTCTCGTAGAATCCAGAATACCAGAAGAAATTGGCGATTGCAACCAACCTTTGCTTTTCGAATTTATGCAGCGACGTACCTTCCTCGATCTTCCTCGCCGACGATGTTGCCGCAGCTTGGGCTCCCCCTTCTCCAGGTTTGAAGACTTTTCCCTCTCCACTTTTTCGCGCTTCTCTTTCTCCGTTTTTTTGCGTTTTTCTTTCTCCACATTTTTGCGCTTCTCTTTCACCACATTCTCGCGCTCAACCTTTTCTGCGAGTTTCCCCAATGTCCCGCACAGATCCTTTCGCGATTCTTTCTGCACCTTGGTGAGCGAACCAGAAGGAACATTTCGCGATTGCGACATATGAGAAGTTCGCGATTTGGACTGCAATTCCGTCTGCGACTTTCGCGACTCCTTCGGCGACTTGTGGAGCGACTGCGATGGTTTATCAGAACGCCGATTGTTTCTTTGCAAGCTTAATTTGCGCCTCTCTTCACAAATCCGTCTGGTCTCTTCGTTCATCTTCTCTAAATTGCGCTCCCAATTTTCCATCGTTCCTACAGGTAACAAGATCGTTTTGCTCTGATACCAATGATAGATACCTCCAGAAAAATAGATACCTCCAGAAATTCAGAAGATTTATGGAAAGATTAACAAGAAAAACTGATGAGAACTTTATTTATGAAGGTGATCGATTACAGGAGAAGACAGTAACCAAGGCCGAAGCCTCCCAAAGCCGAAGCCCCAAAAGATAGAGATGTTCAGTCTCGTATCTTCCCAAGTCCCAAGACTATCCGTTTAAAAGCCTCCTTTATGCCTTCCTTCCCCTTTCTATTTATAGTATAAGCCCTCTTATTATTCTCTATAATAATAGGCCCAAAATAACAGGCCCACTAAACAGTATCTATTCTTCTAGTATTCATATTAGAATTATTATCTATTATTAATCTAATAGGTAGATTCCTATCAAAAATATATGAAGCATTGCTTTTTAGCTAAAAAAAGAGTACCTTCCAGCTAAAAACCAACACTTGTGAAATATCATTTTGGAAAGGGACAGCTTTTCCAAACAAATATCAGCTTTAAGCTCAAACAAGCTGAAACGGGAGTAAGTTTTGGAGACTGTTTCACGCAAGTGATCCTATCTTGTATTTTGTATATATTTAAACACACATACATACATAGCTATATGCTTATACATGTGTATATGTGCGCGCACATAAATATATGTTTGGCCCAACGAGAACTTTTACTGAGGAATGTGTTAAAACTGTGGAGCTTCTTGAAAAATAGGTCTTTCGCTTCTTTATCCTTATTTGAGACTGCATTGCAGTAAGCATAGCTCCTTTTAAAGTACAAAGTTTCAACCAAAAACTGATTTAAAATGCTAAGGAGTGACATTTGCGTTTGGAGAATTGTGTTTGAGATGAATATTTCCTCTTTAGATATTCTGAATTTTACAATGCACTTCTCAACCTCAACGCCAAAGCCGGCCAAGAGTGACTTTGCATTAAGAGAATTGCATAATTTGCAATTGAGGTTAGAAATCAGAGTAATTCTCGTAAGTACTTCTCCAATTTGCTTTTTTAGTACAGTTTTTTGCAGCCAAAATCTCATCCCCAAACTAGCATTTGTCTATGGGAAGTCTAGGAGCAAAAAGAAAAAGAATAAGCTGACCTGTATCTCGGAAAGAATACAACTGTGCATAGCCATGACCATGAACGCACAATGCCTCAATGCACCGCTAAGTTTGACATACTCATTCCATGGATACTTTAGCATTTTGTAGCGACCATGGGGTGGTTCCCATACAGCAAAACTCAACTGAAAAGCAACCTATACTTGTTAGTATCAAAAAACTCTTTATAAATATAAAAATAGATACGCAAATCAGATAAATTACATTGGATTTACCAGAGAATCCTCTTGGCTTGTGGACTCTAAGGCACATCTATACCCACTGTACACAGGGTCATCCCATGCCTGATAAAGTAGAATTTTTGAAGGTACCCTCTCATATTCAACAGATTGCAGATAACCATTCACGCAACCTAATATAACATTGCACAATGGATAAGTCAAATCTCATTCTCTTATTATTTAAGGGTCAGTTTCAATGGTTTTGTTTGTTTTTGCAGGAATATGTCTATATCTCAGTGTATAGTATATACATGAGGTTCTATGAAAGTTGAAAAAATAACACCATAGAGGAGCGTATAACACATCAAACACCTTTTACTTGTTATTAGAAATGTTTATTTATCAAAAATTCAAAATATAGACTAAACCCTCAAAAACCATTCACCCAAACTGACCCTAACTAATTGAAAGACGGTCTCTTGGACCCAGCACATGGAGCAATGATGCATGCTGGTAATGAATGCCACATGTCCTGCAAGGAAATCATTTCAGATATTTCAGTCTTTTTTATCGGTCTTATCAATTCTCTACTAAGCACTAATTTTTTTATTGCACTGGCTAAATCTGCTGATTATAATAAGATTAGCTGATATGACAAGACTGATAAATTTGACTAAACTAACTCAAATGATTCATTTGGAGGACACTTTGCATCCTTATTAGCCTCTGACTGCAGGGTCGAACAGATGTTGAAAGACTAGGAGTGTGTTTCAGAATTTTTATTTTGAAGTAATGAGTGCTTTTAGCTTTTGGAGGAACAAGCACTTTTACTTTAAAAAGATTTGTTTGAAAGGTGTGAAAGTATATTAGAATATACTTTAGAATATGCTTTAGAATATATTAGGAATATACCATACATAGTATTATTGTATAGCATCTTTTATAGGAATATTCTATCTTTGTAATCTATATTTATAGGGCCTTGCCCTTCAATGAAATACACAGAAAATCTTTCCTCCTATCTTCAATATTATATTTTGTAGTTTATATTTCAACATGGTATCAGAGCATTCCATTTTAGTTTTTAAGATTTCATATTAATTTCCAGACTGGATTCTGGATTCTTTCTTCAAGAACCTGAGTTCAGTCTTCAGATTATTCAGAACCTTCAGTTCTTCAGACACCAGTCTGTTTCCAAATTTAGGGATTTCAGTTTTCAGATTCTTCAGTTACTTGAGTTTAGTTTTTCAGATTCTTCAGAACCTCTAGGCACCATTCTAATTTCCCAGAAAATCAATTAGCCCAAGCTAATTTCCCAGAAAATTCCATCGCATACAGTCTGCCCACCAGACCTCAGAAATTTTCAGACCACAAATTTCATCACCACCATACCCAGGTGGTGCGGCTACATCCGACGACTGAGAAACCAAAGTACGCAGGCCCAGATCATCGCGCGTGAGTTACACGCACCGTCAGAAACTTCCGCAGCAACGCACGCGCCGGCGCGTGACGCCGTGTTTCTGGCCGGAGATTTGATCGGAACTCTTCGCCCGAGACTCGTCTGAAAATTCTCTACCAGGTATACTTTACTTCTCTCGTTCTTTCTTCAGCAAGGGACGGGTGTGGTTACCTGGTTGGTCGCTGGGGTCCGACATCAGATGCTCCGTCTGTGACTTTCGCTCCTTCCCTTCCTCTGGTTGTTCGCATCAACTGGGTCTCGCATAGGATATTTGTGAACGACCAAAGGCTTATGGTTCGCACATGCTGGGTTTGGCATTAGACCGACACATCTTTAGCCCATTTGTGAAATTAAGTCTGGGTTCACCTCCCAACCTGGGTATTTTACTGTCCAAGTTTTAAGTCCACAAACGGGAAAGCTGCTATAAGATTTCACAATATTTCAATTTTTTTTTAATTGCCGTCTCATTTAAAAAAAAAAAAAAAAAAAAAAAAATTCGAAAAAAAAAAAAAAAAACATGTTTTGTACGAGTGGATTTGATAGAAGAGTACTATGCAATTACTGTAAGAAGCCGGGGCACTTGATCAAAGAATGTAGAAAATTGCTGTTCAAAAATCAAGGAAATCAGTTTGCTCGTGTCGCTTCCGCTACCAGTTCATCTGATGGATCAGTTGTTATTTCTTCAGAGGAGTATGCCAAATTTATTTGCTACCAAGAATCTCTAAAGCATTCATTTGTCCCTATCTCGATAGCCGCGAATTCAGGTATTTCAAACACATGTCTTGTTTCATCATCCTCGAAATGGGTCATTGACTCAGGTGCCACAGATCATATGACCGGTAATCCTAATCTATTCTCGTCATTTCATTCATATTTACCTACTTCTAGTGTCACTTTAGCTGATGGATCTACCTCACCCGTTCTTGGATCTGGTACTGTTGTTCCAACTTCTACATTACCATTATCTCTTGTTTTGAGTCTTCCTAATTTTGCATTTAATCTGCTTTCCATCAGTAAAATCACTCGTACTCTTAATTGTTCTGTAACATTTTTTCCTGGATACTGTGTGTTTCAGGATCTGTTAACGAAGCAGATTATTGGTAAAGGACATGAGTCAGCTGGTCTTTATATTTTGGATACATCCATCACAAAAGGTATCTCTTGTCTTGGGGTTGGGACTTTGTTAGATGCTCATTACCGATTAGGACATCCATCTCTCCCATTAATGAAACAAATAAATCCCCAATTTAATAAGATGACCTCTTTACAATGTGAGTCATGTCAATTTGCGAAACACCATCGTACTAGCTTAAGCCCGCGAGTTAATAAACGAGCAAATGCTCCATTTGACCTTGTTCACTCTGATGTTTGGGGTGCTTGTCCGGTTGTGTCTAAAGCTGGTTTTAAATATTTTGTTACCTTTGTTGATGACTATTCTCGTATGACCTGGTTGTATTTCATGAAACGTCGATCTGAGTTGTTCACTCATTTTTCTTCCTTTTGTGCTGAAATTAAAACTCAGTTCAACGTTCCTGTTCGGGTGTTAAGAGGAGACAATGCCCAAGAATATCTATCTGCTACATTTAAGTCATTTATGCTTCAACATGGCATTATTCATCAAACTTCATGCGTTCACACACCTCCTCAAAATGGAGTTGCAGAACGAAAGAACCGACATCTGTTAGAAACTGCAAGGGCTCTTCTATTCCAAATGAATGTGCCTAAACAGTTTTGGGCAGATGCCGTGTCTACTGCATGTTTTTTGATAAATCGAATGCCATCTTCTGTTTTGAATGGTAAAGCTCCTTATCATTGTCTATTTCCAAACAAAGAGCTTTTTCCTATCCCACCTAAAATATTTGGTTGCACTTGTTTTGTTAGAGATGTTAATCCTCATCTTACAAAGTTAGATCCCAAATCATTAAAATGTATTTTCTTGGGTTATTCTCGAGTCCAAAAGGGGTATAGATGTTTTTGTCCGAGTACTGGTCGGTATCTTGTTTCTATTGATGCATCATTTCATGAAAATACACCTTTTTCATCATCTAAGGCAGATATTCATGAGAGTAATGATGATATACTCATTTACACGATGACTATTCCTGAGTCCACACTTTCGACAAATATTCCACAAGTTACTGTTCCTGACCCTAGGCCTCCCGTACATTTGGTATACACCCGTCGACACAAAGTACATGATCACCCTCCACCGGCGATACCTGTGATTACTTATCCTGATACTAGTTCAACTCCGATCTCATGTCCTGAACCAGTACCTGCATCTTCAGATCTTGTCTCCACATCAGATCTTGACCTCCCAATAGCACTACGTAAAGGTACACGGTCTTGTACTCATCCTATTTCTTCATTTGTGTCGTACAATCAGTTATCTCCTGCTTCATGTTCTTTTATTGCTTCCATTGATTCTATTTCTGTTCCCAAATCTGTCAAAGAAGCTTTGTCTCATCCTGAATGGCGTCATGCCATGGTAGAGGAAATGAATGCTTTAGATCTTAATGGTACTTGGGATTTGGTTGACTTGCCTACAGGGAAGAAATCTATTGGATGTAAGTGGGTCTTTGCTGTTAAGGTTAACCCAGACGGATCTGTTGCTCGGTTGAAAGCCCGATTAGTTGCGAAGGGTTATGCTCAAACCTATGGTGTTGATTATTCTGACACTTTTTCTCCTGTTGCTAAATTAACATCTGTCAGGTTACTTATTTCACTTGCTGCAACTCATGATTGGCACTTACATCAGTTGGACATTAAAAATGCATTTTTGCATGGTGACCTTAAGGAAGAAGTCTATATTGAGCAACCTCCGGGATTTGTTGCTCAGGGGGAGTATGGTAAAGTTTGTCGACTTCGCAAATCTCTTTATGGTCTAAAACAGAGTCCTCGTGCATGGTTTGGAAAATTCAGTCAATCAATTGAACAATTTGGAATGATAAAAGGCAAATCAGATCACTCTGTCTTTTACAAACAAACAGAATCAGGTGTCACATTGCTTGTGGTGTATGTTGATGATATTGTGATTACAGGGAGTGATAATGCAGGTATTTTGGCCCTTAAGAACTTTCTGCATAGTCAATTCCAGACGAAAGATCTTGGCTCTTTGAAATACTTTCTGGGAATTGAGGTAACACGAAGTAAGAAAGGCATATTTCTATCTCAACGTAAATATGTACTTGACTTACTAGCTGAGACAGGGAAATTAGGGGCAAAACCAAGTACAACACCCATGGTTCCCAACGTGCAACTCACACAAGAAGGCACACCGTTTGAAGACCCAGAAAGATATAGAAGACTGGTTGGAAAGCTTAATTATCTCGCAGTCACTCGTCCAGATATTGCCTATTCTGTGAGTGTAGTGAGTCAATACATGTCATCTCCAACCATTGATCATTGGGCTGCAGTAGAACACATATTATGTTACTTAAAGGGTGCACCAGGACGAGGTATTGTTTATCAAAACCATGATCACATGAGAATAGAATGTTTTGCAGATGCTGATTGGGCCGGTTCTAAAGATGATCGAAGATCTACATCTGGTTATTGTGTCTTTGTTGGTGGTAATCTTGTATCTTGGAAGAGTAAGAAGCAGAATGTGGTTTCTCGTTCGAGTGCCGAATCAGAATATCGAGCTATGGCACAATCTGCATGTGAGATCATATGGATAAGCCATTTATTGACCGAGCTAGGATTGAAGACATCAATGCCTGCTAAATTGTGGTGTGATAACCAGGCTGCTATACACATAGCAAACAATCCTGTATTTCATGAGAGAACAAAGCATATTGAGGTCGATTGTCATTTTATTCGAGAGAAGATACAAAAAGGATTGATCTCCACAGGATATGTGAAGACTGGGGAACAACTTGGAGATTTGTTCACTAAAGCACTAAATGGAATTCGAGTTGGTTATTTATGTAACAAGTTGGGCATGATAAATATCTATGCTCCAACTTGAGGGGGAGTGTGAAAGTATATTAGAATATACTTTAGAATATGCTTTAGAATATATTAGGAATATACCATACATAGTATTATTGTATAGCATCTTTTATAGGAATATTCTATCTTTGTAATCTATATTTATAGGGCCTTGCCCTTCAATGAAATACACAGAAAATCTTTCCTCCTATCTTCAATATTATATTTTGTAGTTTATATTTCAACAAAAGGAAAATGGAAACCATGCTTTTAAAAGTAAAAAACTACTGTCAATGCTTAATAAGAAAACAGAAAATTGGGTGAGTGAAGTAAGAACTTTAAGGATGTTTTAAATTGGATTGACATTTTCTGGTCTGATCGGTTTAAGTCTGGTCTGAACTAGTCTGATAGATGCATGTTTAATGTGTATTTTACTATTGTCGAAGGCTGGTGGTCTGGTCTACTGATATCTGGTATGGTCTGGTTGTTTAAGTCAGGTCTGATCTGGGGCTGAAATCAACCCAATTAAAAGCATCCTAAGCAATTAATTAAATATAAAATCCCTTATGATCAAAGCACGTGTACCATAAGTTACCCCAAACAGCATATACTGTAGAAGCCAAACAAGCAAAAAGACTAAAGATACAGGAAAAAAGAAGCCCCATCACCTTCAAAAGAATCTGCAACACCATTAAAATTCTTTACCACCAGTTTGTGCAAATCTTCACCAGCCCAAATGGGGTAGACACATATATTTACAAGCAAGCATACAACTGCGCCAACCCCAATCAGCAATAGCCGGGAGAAAGCAGTTTCTATCAATTTTGAAGATTCCGATAATAAGACTATACAGTATGTCAACAAGAACACCCGGAATGCATATTCATATTGCTTCATACTAGGATGCAGTTTCAAGTAACTTGCTACAAAACCTGAAAATACAATGGGTATAATGCAGTAAGTTAGAGTTGTAGACTCAAAACATACTAATCCAATATTTCTAAGGGAATATTCCACATATGATACTAAGACATTACACATTTCTTTATTTAGGATTATCATTGCTTTTCCCTGAAGGGAAAAGTACCTACTAAAACAATGAGAAGTACCTAATATATGAGCAAGAATCATCTAAATGTCATGTGGCATACGACTAATTAAGGCATTCAGTAGTGGGATACTGGAAAACACATCACATTAGAAAAAACATCACATTAGGAAAAAACATCAGAGTCATATACTGGGAAACATGACTCGTTCTTGCCTTATCCTCATCATTTTCTCTTTTTCTGAAACTAGAACTCGTACAATTCTAAAAGAGAGATTATTAAGTACTTTTATTCTTTATGGTTTTTTTTCAAAAATATTATCAAAATAAAACTTATTTACAAAGATATGACTAATAGTTACTACAATGTAGTGTCATGGTAACTTAAGTTTAGAAATTGAACATGAGTTACCAAAATTACATTAGGACTGAATGGGTCTTAGTTGTAGTACAAGCAAGGATACTCTTATGTGTGCACATGAGTCATGTTTTACTCTTATTTGTGGTTTATCGCAGGAAGTTCCCTGGAGAACCGGCAGAAAGAAACGAATTCCATATCTTCTGTTAGAGGAAGCAGAAACTACAAAAAATACATACTAGGAATATAGCCATCAGTTTGGATTCAGTATTAAAAAACAGTTCAACTCTGGAAATGCCTCAAAAAAGGAAACACCAAAGTTAAATTGTTAAAAAAATCTCACATCACGACTAAAATACCCATAATACACCATACAACTTTGTTTTTGAGGTTGAAACTCATGCCCTTTTATATAAATTGGTATGAGCATGTTATGCACTTAGCCACTTACGTTGACGTCTAGTTGGCTATCCTGAGGAGCTTGCTGGATATGAAATTGTCATAGTTCACGCACTATACAAGAGTGAAATTTCCTTATCTTATGGAATGTTTGTTATATTTTACAACATATTATGAACCCTTACTACATTAGTAGTGAACACAGATGACAGTATTTGAAGTAAGAGTACTGACCTGCAATTAAGATGCTGACAATAATTACTTCTTCTTGCCATTTGCCTGCCATGAAAGACAATTCGGCTATTCCCAAAGATAGCCCTCCAGCAGATAAAGTCCCAATTGCCCTATTAAACCCTTTACTAAGGGTTGCCCCTGTCCAATGATGCACATAAACTGTCTGAGAACACATTGAACAATTATGCTCATTTTCAGCTTCAAAATATACCGGACATCAGGTTGTAATTCAGTTAATTCTACAACATTGTATTTTTGTACTTTTTAATGAAACTACTCAATTTGCAAAGCTGCACATCTCATAGTGCTGATATTTTCTTTGTTCTTCCTATTTGCATTCTATACATTGCTTATTTGAGTATAAGGTGTATACTATTCATTTGTAAGATGTTCATTTGATAAACCATGATCAAGATACAACAGGGTTACTCATAAATGGACGCGTTAAAAAGCCATTACCTTAAATATAAGAGACAGCCACTAGGATATACTTATTAATATTATAAATATAAGGACCTATTGCTGTATGAAAATATGTAAGAAATTTACAAAAAATCTAAGCATATTGTTTTACATAAAGAAATATTTTTAGAGTTTAAGTAATATGTATATTACGAGTAAAGAACATTAAATCGAAAATTCCCTATGACTAGTTTAGTGCAAAAATATGTTAAGATGTAAGTAAAAATTGTAACCAATAATTCAATATTGGCCAATTAGGCAATTCATACTTCATTCAAACACTTAGAAAATCATAAAGGGCAATATAAATAAAATTTCCGTTAGGAACAAAATTTCTAATTAGTGGCATCATACACAACAGAAACATATTTTATCATACGGGTGTCTAATTTTAGATAAATGATGACACGGATTAAAAAAATGTTATTTGATATTTATGTAATTTGTGTATGCCTGGTCGGTCTGATGGTTGTTCTATGTTTATTTTACAACTGCAGAGTTTGGTCTGGTCTCATGAATGTCTCTTCTATAGTTCTATGTCTATTTTACCTTTGTTGAATTCTGGACTGATCTGGTGTGTTTAAGTTTGTTTTGGTCCGTGATTGAAATTAGTCCAATTAAAAATATCCTTAGAAGTGCTATGTCTGGCACGGATGCAACACATAAAACACTTGAACGTGTTGACAATGATGGTATCATTTGTCTAAGAACAGGAAAGTGAACAAACAAGGAAAAGTGAACAATTATTGACAATGGTGGTATTATTTGTCTAAGAAAGGAAAGTGAGCAAAACAAGGAAAAGTGAACAATTATTGACAATAATGGTATCATTTGTCAAATTAATTAGATGAGATGATGTCATGGACATTACCTATGCTGAATTCGAAGACGACAACAACTGTGAGGATAGCCCAAACATAGTGATTGCCAATGTAGCTGAGAGGTTCCTTGAAGAATACGAGGAGAGAAACGAGGGAGAGGGCTATTCCCATCTTAGCTGCAAATATGACCTTGCGCGGATCTTTCCGTCCCATCTCACAGGCCTTCATCCATGCCCCCTTAACATCTCCGAAGAACTGGGAAATCCTGTCCTGAAGTCCGTGGAGACAACCTTGATCTGGGGATTGGTGCGGGACCCCGAATCCCAATTCTGAAGAATACCCGTTTCTGGATATCAATCTTTCTCTGCTTGCTTGCAGGAACATATTCATCGAAGATTCAGATTCAGTGTTGTTTGCTGTCATACTTTCTGGAATTGAGTTTCATGGAGAAAGATGTAGTATTATTTCGTTTTTTTTTTGTGGGAATTCAATCATACAATTGTTAACTCAGAGACGTTATATTTTTTCTTTAAGAAGAACGTGACACCATCACATGGATAGCTTCAAACAGAAATGATATATTGACAACTCGCGAATCTATTGTTTCAAAGCAGGCTTCGTTTTTACTCCTCGGGTCCCTCTACGCTCTCGTGCTTTGTCTGTCTAAGAGATCTCCGATGCTACCACGTACACGGTGCATATGTGGCATGAGAGATACACACAAAAGATTGATTTTATTACATTTCTCTCTCCTACCTTCAACGGTCTTATATGTTTTTGGTAAGTTTTTCTCTGCAATGTCAACCACAATGTCTACACCTAGACATTGTGCTTGATATTGTGAAGAAAAACTTACGAAAATGATGTAAGATCCTTCAAATAAGGAGAGAGATGATGTATTTATTATTTTTTAAATGGTTATCTCTCATACCATGTATGCACCGTTAACATTTTAGCATTGGAGATGCTCTAACTGTTACAGTGAGTTATATCCTCCGTTTCTTTTAATTGTAACATATTGATTTTTTGCACGGTTTACATGATCTATTTTGATTACACTTTATTATTTTATGAAAATTATTTTTTAAAAAAATATTTTTCAATTCATCTCATTACAAATTTTCAAAATCTGATTTTTAATATTCTTTTATTAATAGAAATTAGAAATTAAATTATACTTATGGTCAAATGTGTGCATTGATAAATGTGCAAAGGTTGATTCTTTAGGGAGTACATCTGTCTCGATTTAAACTTGATATACTCTGTATTATATGAAAATAATTATATAAATATGACTAAAATAAAGATAATTTACAAAAATATGATTAGTTACTAGAGTAGTAATGAAATAATAGTAATTCATGTTCAAGTTTTGAACTTAAGTTACCACAACACTACATTGTAGTAATGAATAGTCATATTTATGTAAATAAGTTTTATTTTAATAATATTCTTGTAAAAAAACCGTATTATATAGCCAATAATTAATTGAGATTATTTGAGCATTTTTTGAAAAAATAATTTTGATGGGTATATAATAGGGTGAATTTGACTTTGCACTTCATTTTTTGGATGATATTATACTTTGGTCCTCATTTTTTAAAAACTTTGATTTTGCATCCCATTTCACTTCAAAATCTTTGACTTTGTACCCAATTTAGAAATTTTCCTTCACAAATGTCATATGATAGGGTGCAAAGTCAAAAGGTTTTTTAAAAAGGGGTGCAAGGTCCAATATCACTCAAAGAGTGGGGTGCAAATTCAAATTCTCCCTATATAATACGTACTACGTGTCTATGTATAATTGTGATGTTATAGGTATACTATTTTTATTATTTGATAATAATTATCATTTAAGATTATTAATTATTTCCCAAAATGAGAATCTTTGACTGGAACGGCAGGAACACGTTAATTATAGTGGCAATTTTACTTTTCAAAATTACTCTTAATTTATGTTAAATCAAGTAAAAAATAAGAGTATTTTGGCTCCGTTTGGAAGCCAACGGTTGGCCAAAACGTCAATTATTTTACAAAGAAAACGCTGTGTTTTCTAGCGTTTTGCTTGCCAATTGCCAAAAAACAAACAGCCCCTTTCATATTTGGTATTGAAAAAGCTACTCTTTATGAAAATGAAGGATTATTTGGGACATCCAAATAAAGAAAGTGGATAATTGTTTGGAGACAAATTAATGGTAACAATAAAATAAGACATGCAGATAAAAATGTCACAAAAATGATTATAATTATACTTTTATATAGACACCACAATACAAATTTGAACATTATTATAATATCCTTGTTTGTAGACAAAGTCAATTCACAATTCATTTGAAGCCAGAACTTTTATACCATGCGCGTCATATTCGCCTGGTGTTTGCTACAGAGTTACATAGAGTTACATAGGTTGCTGAATAATATTTTTATACCATAATCACAAATTTACGACTAAAACAAAAGTTATTTGCAAAACGTGAACTCTTAAGTCTTAAACATAGTAAATATCTATCGTACTCCGTTATAACTTATGATCAAAAAAATTACATTTAGATGATCATTAAATTCACTTATAATCATATCATATTTTTATCACATTCGTGAAACTCTATATTTTTATCCCCTATATTTGGATCATACATCATGTAATATTTGTATCTTTAATCGAAAGCCCAACCTAGCTAACTAAATGACTCGATCAAACTCACAAAAAGAAATACGAACCAACTCAAATGAATTGTCAAACGAGTTGCTTAGTTCGCCTAGCTATACTATATAAGTATATATCTTCATCTCGAATTAATAATTTTTTTCATGTAATGGCTGAGGTTCTTTTCGAAGAAATTTGGTACTTGATAAAATAGAACGGGAAATTCAATTTTCGAAAACTTTGTTGAGTTTCGGTTATGAGATTTCTCAAAATTGAAATTTCGGTTCAACTTTGTTTTTTTATCATTTCAAATCGGTTAAACTTTAATTTAGTCCTATTTAAGGCTATTAACTTTTCTGATATTTTGTCAGTCAACATCATTTTTTATTTATAAGAACTTTTTATTAGCACAACAAATATTTTTGTAAAACTCCATGTCCCCAGTTTTAAAGAAAGGAAATAGTTCAAAAACTTTTTTTCCAAAAGAAAATAGTACAAAAACTTGATCACAATTTTATATAGGCCTGTGATAAAGAAAATGTGTCTTTGCGCCGATCCTTCAAGCTCAAGTTTTATAGGTCAATTGTGATATACGGAGTACTCTGTATTAGAAGTTTTGTGGTCAATAACATGTTAAGCAGCCTCGTGTTCACTTACGTGTTTAGGGGGTTCGCGGTGAGTCATACGAGTTTGATAGCTTAGCATTTAGCTTTAATATGGTTTGAACTACCTGTATGAACTGATCCAATAAATATTTGGTCACTACGTATTTTATAATTGTCCAATTCTTGTATGGTTTGATCTTGTTTGAGCCTGAAAACAGTTCAAATAAAAACATTCTTAGTGATCAGTTGATCACTAAAATGTCAACGACAACGGTGATAGCATTGACGGTGGTGACAATTGGCGGAGTGGTGTAGGACCGTCTTGAGGAACTTTGATCTTCGAAATGAATAGATTATTTTATGTGGTCATATACTCATATATATAGTCATTAATTCTTTGAGCCACGTAATTTTAATTTGCATAAATTCCAAATGCATTTCTATTCGAACCATTAACATTATGATTGTCATAATCTATATTTAGGTATTCATAAACGTCGCTTACACGCTAACTCGTTTTTTTCTATTTTTTATTTTCATTGTTTACATCAATTATATTTGCATTCTCATTTTTAATCATTTACAACAAATCCTTGTGTGCTGATGAGAAACGCACAAGGTCTTATTTTTTACTATATATGTATATCATTATTCTTTTAAAATATTTTACACTGGGGTGTTTGGTAATGATGGATAGTGTACCTGGGGTAGCTTATTCGAGGGATACCACGAGGGATATCTAGAGAGAAGTCGGAGCAATAAGTAAGAGAGAGAGAGAGTAAGAATGTATTAAATGAACTCGTTGTCTCTTACAGAAGAAAATGAGACACTATTTATAGTAGCCATAAATGCTAGACGCATTAAATGTGAGTACACGTGTCAAGTAATCAATGGTGGAGGGTCACTCCAGCCATGCTGGCGCCGACATTGCATGTGGCACCGCATTAAATGCGGTGGTTAGACGTGACACCATATTGAATGTGGTGGTTGTCTGTCCTGAGCGGGAATCTTTGCTGAGTGGAGACCCTTCGGTATGTGTGCCGAAGGCACCCCTAGGCCGAAGGCTACTATTTCAGTCTGAATCTCCCAGCAGCTTCGTGGATCCAAGAGCAGTTGCTTCCCGGAGTTTCACGCCCCCGACAGGGGCGCCGAAGGCACCTACGTGTGCATTATGGGCTTCCTGGAATGTGGGCCGTTATATCTAGGCTTCCTGTGCCTATTGGGCCTGTTTAGGGGAAGTATGAGTATGTGGGCCGGGGGTCTCTGGGCCATATACTCCATCGGGAGTCCCCCACTCCTTTTGTCGAGAGCTTCTCGAGGGAAAGAGGAGTAATTGTTGTGGTTCTGCCGGAGGCTTTCTTGTTGTGGTTGATAAACGCAGAAAGACCTTTGTATTTGGGTGCCTGCTATGGGGAGTCCCACAGTCCCTCACACGTTGAGGGGTTGAGGGCTTCTTGAGGGAAGCTGTGGTGGAATGGCCTTTGTAACTTTGGTGAAGTCTGCATTACTTTTGTAAGAATTCTTTAAAAACTGGTGCTTTTCCCGAGGGGTTTCCCCAGTCTCCCACACCTTCATACTGAGGGCAAACTCTAGATGAAGGGGTTTGATGGCATGTGATAACCCGAGGGCAACTTTGGATGAAGAGGTTTGATGGTATGATTTAACCTGAGGGCAATTCTGGATGAAAGGATTAGATGATATGTGGTAACCCTGGGGCTTGCTTTATTGTTATTCTAAGGGTGTCAGCTAAGGCCACCTCAGTGTTCAAAAATAGCCGTTGTGATATAGCCGTTGGAGGAGGCATCCACGTGCCATGTGTCGGTTGGTGCAAAGTGGGCGGGTGCCAACCATTGAGCTGAAGCGGCGGTTTGTAATGATGGGTTTTTAATCGGAGGCCCACGTTTTGACCTTAACCGCGGTTGGGGATGCTTATAAATACCCATGGCCTGAGCTCATTTGCCTCGCATGTTTTATTGCTGAAGCGAAGCTCTGCCAATTTTTCTAGAGAGAGAGAATCTGTTTCGATCAAACCAAGTTCTCGAGGTCAGATCTTCATTTGTTCTTGCTATTCTCAACATACTTTGCTTCGTCCTCTTTATATTAAGTGTTAGTTCACTTGAAAACTCCTTCCTTTTATCAACTCCCTCATCAACACTTCCGAGAGATGTCTTCTGCAAGTGACTCCCAAGATATATCGAAGGAGGCTTCGGTGCAATCCGAGAGCGGGGTTGAGGAGAAGTCCTCAAGTGCGCAACCCTCGTCCCATGACAACTTTGAATTAGCCAAGGAGGTGCAAAATAACCTTCGGACCGAGACTGAAGCCGAAGAATTTGAACAGGTGGTCGAGGATGAGGAGATGGTTATTGTCGTTCA